AGGGAGCAGAGGCCCAGGATGAAGGCCGGGTTCGGGCCAGACCGCGGGGGGCGGGGGCGGGGGGAGCCTGACCTTGGGCACGAACAGTACCACCAGAGTGATGTAGGAGGAGAACACTATGGCGAGGGACGCGAAGGCAAAGGCGGCGTCCTGCTGACTGGACAAGATCATGGTGACCGGGGCGGTGATGAGGCACAGGACCTGTGGGCGAACGAGCTTGGGACCTCCGGGCTCTCCTCCCCCAGGACGGCCCATGAGGACACATGCTGGCACAGCTACCCTGCCATAGGGGCCCAAATGTGAGGCCACCCTCTTGGGCTCTAGGTCAGCCCTTGCCTCTCCTGCTACCATCACACACATTCAGTCCCCGAGTGTCCCACACCTGGTGGCAAGCTGACCTGGCCAGGGAACCACACACAAGCCATCTAACCTTTCTGCTTCCTCGCCCGTGTAGTGGGGACAGTACCGTGTGTCTCATGGGCGGTCACAGGAAGATTAATGAGACAGTGTCTGCAGCGTGCTTTACCAACTGTAAAGTGCTTGGCAAACCTGGGGCATTAAAAACTATTTAAGACTTGCACCCACTGACCCCAGGCAGCCCCTGGGGTCAGGGCCAGGTGCTGAGGCTCACCGCCACATTGTAGATGGCCATGCCCACGGCCCTGTGGTCGTTGATCTTCTCGGTGGACACGCTCTTAGTCTCATAGGCAAGAAAGATGCCCAGCAGCAGTAGCAGCCCCTTGTAACCATAGAAAATGCCTAGAACGGCAGGAATCGGTCACATGGGCAACAAGCCCTCCAAGCGTCCACCCCTGCGTCCACTCTCCGCCCACACCCCCCACCTACTGCAAACAGGGCTCCCCTCCCGTCGGCCCCTCTGACCTAGCACAGCCATCTCTGTGCATCCCCCAACCTGACCACCTGACCACCTCCTCCTGGGACACAAGTGGATGACTGCTGACAGCAGCTATCCACCAGCCCCGGGGCCACACAATGTCTCACCCCCTCACCCTCCAGGCTGAGGGTAGGTTTTACCCTTTGTGGTAAAACCACAAGACCAGAGCAATGTTCAGGAGGCCAAAAGGGGCCTGCCCCAGGCCCTCACAGCTCTGGTCTTCCTATAGGGAGCAGACCAGACGGAAGGGGTCAGGCCATCCCCCCTGGTCCCTCCGCCACACCCCTGCTTTAGCCCCCCCCGCTCCTCCTGGAAACAGTCCAACTCTCCCCCATCCCCAGAAAGGATCAGTGCAATGACACAGAGGAGGACACTCTTCTTCCGAAGACCCTTGTCCCCACCAGCCTGCTGTCCCTGCCCCACCCCCTCCCCCACAGCCCACACACCGAGCCACGTATTCATCTTCTTGGAGCTGCAGTGCTCCAGCTGGGGCAGGATGGACACATCAATGTCTTCCTTCGGCTCCTCCTTGGCAAAAGTCTAGTGGAGAAATTGGGCCACCAGAAAGATGGCAGTCACCCTCCCGCCCACCCCTGCCCCCCCTTTTCTAGGAGACCCTGGATACTGATGCCAGGCCCCGTGCTAGGCCCAGGGGTGTTTTCATGAACCCCAGCTTTCCACATGCCTGGAAGGTCTACACATCCCTCCTGGCTCCCCACTACTCGCTTTCATCAAGGAACCTCGGGGCACCGGAGCACGATGCTGGACAGCGCTCTCCCACGAGTGGCTGCATGCCTCCAGACCGTACTCAGCCCACACACCAGCGAGCCCCACTCGGCCCTGGCCTCAGTACCTCCTCCCAACCTGTACCTCAATGGTTCGATGCAGGGGGTCCACAATCTGCCAGATGGCGAGAGTGACCACATCCATGCCCACCAGCAAGCCCACCGTGGCATACAGCTTCCAGGGCTCCAGCGTCTGCACAAACAGAGCACAGGCCAGTCGGAAGAAGCCCTCTAGGCCCCGGGAGCCAAGGACCTGAGGGCCGAGGAACAGCAAGCAGCTCACCTTCCTCCACTCCTTCTTCTCCTCCTTCTTCGTGAAGACCGTATGCACCCACCAGATCTTAGTGAACATGGAGCCGTAGCCCAGACTGAACCCCAGACCCAGGAGCCAGAGGCGGGCCTGGCACAGGACGAGAGAGCAGGGCAGTGTGGGGCAGAGCCTCGGGAGGGAACAGGGGTACAGCCGGTGGGGATGGGGGTGTGGAGGGCCAGCAAGGGAGTCCCTGCCTTCAGCAACGTCCTCCCATCCAGCAGGGTGACCGGCCACGATCTCCTGGGGTTACTGGCCAATCGGGCGGGTTACAGCCCCAGACCCTCCACAACACAGCCCCACCCACCTCTGCAGGCCCATCTACGGGGCCTTTGCTCCCCCTGCTCCAGCCACACTGACGTGCCCGCCTGAGATGCTGGCTCTTCTAACCCTGCAAACCATGTGAGTGACCACCTTTATCTCTCCAGCTGATAAAGCCCACGTGTCCTTCGATATTCAAATGCCACCCCTGCTGGGGTCCAGCCATGTCCTGAGCTGCTTCCTCTCTGCTTCCACAGCACTCTGTGCAGACACCCCTCCTAGAGCCCCCTCTGTCTACCTCTCCCACTGCTTTCTGGTTTTACTGGGGACATACAGCCTCTGGCGGGGTGCACGTGCACAGCTGCAGGGTCGGGACAGGCACACAAGGAGGCGTGAGGAGGGCAGGGAAAGAAGGACTATTTCCCACCAGCATAACAGAACTACAGAAGCCAGCCTTTCCCCACAGCCCAGGACCTGCCATGCCCCGAATACCAAGAACGTCCTCCCTGCCCCCACTCCCTGCTGTTAGTTCAGGTCTCCGAACCGCAACCAAGGCCACCCTGGGAACCCAGTTCCTTCTCTCAGCCCCACACAAGCTGCCATTGTTCAAGGGCTCTTTGCGCAGACCCTCCTTCACCCTCAACACCTCCCCTCTTGTCCATGAGGCCATGGCAACCTTGGAACCGACAAGAGAGCCACACAGTGAGAAGGTCTGGAGGACAGAAAGAAGGAATGGGGCCAGGCAGGGACCACAGGGGTGGCATTAGGGGGACAGGCACCGCCCCGGCACCCCCGCACCCCCGCCCTCCCGGCCCGGCCCCCGGGGCGGGGGGTGGGGGGGGGGGGGGGGGGAGGACAGCTTCCTCCTGTAGGGTGTCCGCCCCCACATCCTCCTTACCTGACAGACAAAGGGGAACTGGCTTCTGCCAATGTGGTAGCCATCCAGCCCGAGGGGGAAGACGGCAGCCAGTGCCAGGGCACAGCCCACAGCAGTCAGATTGTTCAGGTGGGGCTGGGAGTTCTGGATGTAGCTAGGGGCGGAGGCGGGGGGGGGGGTGGGGAGAGTAGAATTAACCTCTTCTCCTGGGGGGTCAGCTCCTCAGTGCCGCCAGGGCCTGACCCAAGCTCAGCCACAGGCAAGGGTGCATGGTGCAGCCTGGGAGACAAGGCCGCGTGGGCAGGGGCTGGCACAGAGCTGCGGGGAGCTCCCCAGCCCAGGACACCACCTGCACACACTGTATCCCCTGGCCCCAGAGGCTCTTGGTGTCCAGACAGCTGCTTCGGGGCTGGGATGGGGGGTTTCCAGCCCAGTGGCCACTGGGAATGCATTAGAATGAAAGCATCCACCGCCCAAGGCCTCCAGAGGGTCTTATCCTTGGTCCCTCGGGAGGGGAGGGCATGCCCGCTGTCTGGGAGGGGCAGACAGAACAAGGAAAGTGTCAGGAAAGAGACTTACCGGACATGAGAGTTGTAGATGTTAAAAGACAGACAGACCACAGCCAGGACAATGCCCAGGCTGGACAGAACAGAGACGGAGATGAAGAGTTTCTGGGACATGAAGCGAAATGTCTTGATGACCAGGGTCTGGTCAGCCGGGGGGGCCCCTCCTGCATGGCATGGGTGGTAAGAGGGGTCTGGTCAGCTAGGGGTCCCTCCTGCATGGAACTGCAGGTGGGGGGGATCTGGTCAGCTGAGGACCCCTCCTGCATGAAACTGGGGGGGTTCTGGCCAGGTGGGGGGGCCCCTTCTGCATGGCATGAAGGGTAAGAGGGGTCTGGTCCCTCCTGCATGGAACTAGGGGAGGGGTCTGGCCAGCTGAGGACCCCTCCTGCATGGCACTGGGGGGTTCTAGTCAGGTCGGGGGGTCCCTCCTGCATGGAAATGGGGGGTCTGGTCAGGTGGGGGAGTCCCTCCTGCATGGAACTGGGGATGGGGGCTCTGGCCAGCTGAGGAACCCTCCTGCATGGAACTAGAGGGGGTCTGGTCAGGTGGGGGTCCCTCCTGCATGGCACCGGGGGGGGGCAGGGGGGACAAGGAATGAAGATGGGGCAGGTGACACCATCCTAGCCGTGAGGACATGGGGACCCTCGCTGCCCTGGATGGGGGCCCCTCCGGTGCCCACTCCCTGCCGCAGCGGGTCAGGAAGCAGTCAGAAGTGAGGGGTGGAGCTACAGACCCAGATGTATCACCAAAGCCCTAGTCTGTTTCTGTCATTGTCTGTTCCGTGTGTTTTTCTGTCTGTTTTGCAGCAAAGGAAAGTGGGTGGGAAAGAAGGGTTGACAGAGATAAACCTCACGAGGTCTCTTGTGACTCAAATCAAAAGCTGCAAAAGACAGCTGTGGAATCATAAATCCAGAAACTTCAAAGTATCCAGGCTGGTCTCCTCACCTTAGGAAAACACTGATCTGTGATTTTTACCCCTCATAGGGTGATATACCCAAAGGTGTTTTCTGGTTATTAATAGGGGAAGCTCAAATGTGTCATCGAGTTCACAGGGGAAAAAAACGAAAAAAAAAAAAAAAACCAATTTCAATTTGTTTCGCTTTAAAAAGAAAAGTGTAATTTAGGCCGTGCAGCATTTATAGCAGCACAGAACACTGTCCTAAATTCAAATTATGAAGAAATGTCAGCTCACCAGCAGTGCTGGGAATCTCTAGATCCCAGCTGGGTAGGGCAGCTGTCCCCACCTCGGTCCCTCCTTTTGTCCACCTTGAGTGTCTTTCCTATTTCTGATCATTTAGCCCACAAAGCACACAAAGAGTAATGGTTTCCTTTTTCCCTTTAAAAAGCACGTTTCATTGGAAGAGAATTACATGAGGTTTCAAAGCCTCTCCTATAGTTTAAGTTTTCCTGACAGAGATGAAGAGGCCATTGTCGGCCTCAAGTAGCTGGTTCAGAGACAGCAAGGCACCAGAACAGCTGGTAAACCCAGACGGGGTTTCCTGGCTGCCCCCTGTGCACCCCCACCCCTAGCCCTCATACCTGAGCAATGTCCTATCCATACCGGTGCATTGCTACCAACCACCTGCCCCTCCCCAAATACACAGCTCCCCTAGCCGCGTCCTAACCTGGGCCCCCACCCCCAGACTTCTAGCCTCAGGCACCTGCCACCCCCTCACCCCCGTTCACATGCACAAGGCTCTCCCTCAACTGCTCAGAGGCACTGAAGGAAAACATCAGCAGGGCCCTGCTTACCAATCCACTTGTCCGTTTTGGACCAGGAAAGGTCATCCTTGGTGCTGTCATAGTAGCCAATCTTCTTGTAGCTTCCACCTGGATGGGGACGGGGGGGGGGGGGGGGTGGGGGCCCAGCCCGGGCACCAGCTTCCCAGGGTTCTACTTCACCCTGAGCCCCTCAAGGGCACCTGGGAGGACCTGGGGGCCATCTGAACCAGCAATCTGACTGAAAGGCAGCACAGGATGGGCGCCAACGCAACGTGAATACAGAAGAACATCTTCTACGTCTAAATGGTCCGCCGCCATGCGGCAGCCTCACACCTCTCACTGCGGATGTCTCGCACGTCGATTCTGGCTTTTAAAGCTTTCAACGTCCCTGCTCATTCTCCCTCTCATGACAGACAGAATCACAGCATCTATTTTCCCAGTGGCTTTCATTTTAATTTTAGACATTTCTCTTCTGTTGGCTTGGGTTCTAATTCCTTGGAAAGTTGCATCTGCCTCTTTAAAGACCCACAAGACAAGAGGAATGCAGCATGCAGCTCCTAAGATCCCTGCTCCACATCCGGTTATGAACAGCTTCCTTCAGAAGCCAGCGCACCGCCCTCCAGCAGGGGTGGGAGGAGGGGGGAGGACAGGGGGAGGAGGATGGGGTGAGGGGAGGGAAAGTGGGGGAGGGGAGGAGGATGGGGGATGGGAGGTAGAGGGAGGAGGTGGTGCGGAGGAGGAGGATGATGGGAGGTGGGGGGAGGGGAAGAGGGGGATGGAGGGTGTTTGGGGGGATGGGGTGGGGAAAGGCGGGTTTTGGGGGGATGGGGTGGGACGCGGGGAGGAGGAGGGGGGTGAGGATAGGGTGTGGAGGAGGAAAGGGGGGTGGGAGATGGGAGGAGGGGGGTGGGGGGGCAGGAGAGAAAGAAACTTCCCTCCGAAGGCCACACAATGGCTCTCTTGCAGGGGCTCTAGGAAGCTGGTTGGGGTGTGAACAGTTCAGCTCACAGAAACCTGGCAAATACACACATACATGTGGTAAATTATAAGAAAATGCAATCTAGAAAAACCAAGCTATGTACACCACACAAAAATTAGGATGCTTGTTTCTATAGCAGGGAAATTCAATAGGTTGGTTCCTTTACAAATGGTCTCTGCCAGATGTGGCTTTCCTTGAGTTGTGGGTAAGTGACCAACAAGGCGTTAGCCCCTCGTTGGCAAGCCACCCGAGGGAAATTCCTGAAATTAAATGGGAAGCCACTGGGGAAAGACGGGCTTTCACTTTGCCTGCCCCTCTCCAACTCCTGAACACCCACCGTCCCTCAGCTTTTCACTGCTCTCATACTATAAGAGCTTGACGAGCAGTTAGAGAGCAGCCAGAGGTGGGAGGCCCCTAGGTCATTGAGTCCTGCCCCAGGCGGTGACCCCGAACAGCTGGCCCCTGCCCCCTGCGCTCACCCTGCAGCTGCTCGATGAGAGTCCAGGCCATCCGGGAGCCGCTGGCATCGAAGACCACATGGCCCTGAGGGAGGGAAACAGGCGGAGGCAGACAGAGGTGATAAAAGCAGGAGCGAAAAGAGACTCAGGGACTCTCCGGATCCTTATGCTTTGATGTAACTGAGCCTCTGAATGAAGCCTATTTCTGGCATTTGCCTGCATATAGGACGTACCCCAGATGCCCATACCCTAGATTCCAGACACATTATTCTGTTGAAAAGAAGCTTCACCCATGGGATTTGAGTGAGAAAGAACCCCAGGTAGAGCACCGGAGACCCGGCCCCTGGCTGTGTGACCTGGGTAGTCAAGAAATCCTTCTGGACACTAATTTCCCCACTCTGAAAGGAACAGGAGACAACCTATCCGACTATTTCCTCCTCTAACGTTCTACGATTCTCATCTATTAATTCCTACACTGGAAAGAAATGAGGGAGAGGTGGACAGAAAAGGAATACACCACTTTTCCTTCTAGTCTCTTATGGGTTCTTCTGGTTTGGGGGTCCCTACCCCCCAACCCAAGACCCATTATTGCAGAGACTGACGTGCACATCCAGGAGGAGGATGCTGTGTCTGTGGGAGGATGGGGAGTGTGAAGGAGGTCACTGTAACTCACAGAGACGCCCTCGAAGGACGAGGAGTTCATCGCCCGGTAGATTTGGTCAGTAATGGTCTGGTTGTTATAGTTGAAGTCCTCCAGGCGCACCCCCGAACGGCCACCCCCTCCAGACGTCTTGTTCAGAGCCAGCGCCAAGGCCCAGATGGCGTCGTAGGCCAGCGGCGCCTCCTGGAACCCACCGGTCTCCTCGGGGTGTCTCTTGAGTCGCTTGGTCAGCTTCTCCACAAACTCCTGGGATGTCTGCGGAGGGAAGGAGGGGAGAAAGGGTTGGCGCAGGAGGGGGTGGGGGGCACGGCTTCTTATTCTGGCTCCAGAACTTCTGTTGAACGGATGGTTTGTGCTCATGACAGATGGAGCGCACGGCCCTTCGAAATCTAACCATGCCCCTGTATCTCTTAGATCAGCCGGTGAGCTGGGTCCAGGGGCTCAGCGTGCCCAGCCACTAGCTCAGAATGGGAACAGAACGTCTAAGGAACAGTCACTCTGCAGAACGAATGGCAAGAGAAAGGAGACGTGGACGACCTTCTCTCGTGCTCAGACCTAGCACCTGACAGCTCCTCCAGTTCGGAAACACCCTAGATGAGGTTCCTGCAGAGCCCCCCTCACCAGGCAGGAAGGGGGCTCTTCAGTGTGCTACCTGCCTTACCGTCCTCACGGGCCTTCAGCTCACAGCCCCCCGAAGGGTGTTCGAGAGACTGAGAGCCCAGAAGCAACCTTCATGTGTTTGAGGTCCAATACTCAGCCCCTACCCACACCCTCCCCACCCTCAACGTCTTTCCTCCAGAAGCTAAAGAGAATGAGATAGCTCCTGTAACTGTCAGGAGATGAATAAAGAGCCCTAAACTTCTGTACCTGGCAATGACCTCATTTGGCTAAATAACCATAGGTCAGTTGCTCAAGTTTTTGGAAATGTCTAGCACGTAATGGAGAAAAATCACATCTGTCCTCTGTTACCTCCCAGAGGCCACATAAGGAAATACCCAGAGGCTACCTCTTGGCAAAGCACAAGTAATACACAGGGCACCTCAGAACTCTGCTGGATCTGGAATGTACTAACATCCTCAGACTCTAAGGAAGAAATGAATGATGAAGTATAAATAAAAATCTGTTTCCCATGCCCTGCCCGCTTTTCTTTCTATTCAACTTTCTGAAGATACAGCAGTGGGAGATGCAAGGGGCAGGCAGTGTGGTACAGGGGAAACTGCCTCTAAAAATGGGCCAGGACCAAGTTCCATCCGTCTGCACACCCTCAGCCCCCAGCCCTGTGCCCAGCACACCATGGACAAGCAGCAAATGTATCCTGGATTAGGGCAGCAAAAAATACCCCACATGTAATTCTAATGGGTGATACATGTCATTGTACATTTGCCCAAACCCACAGAATATACACCCCAAAAGCAAGCCCTTGTGTAAACTGTGGGCTTTGGGCAATAATCTATCAATGTAGATTCATCAACTATAGGCACTCTGGTGGGAATGGTGATAACGAGGGGAGATGTGCACATATGGGTTCAGGAAGCACATTCTTCTCAATTCTGCTGTGAACTTGAATTACTAAAAAAAATAAAGTATTTTTAAAAATGTCCATTGGCACTTTTCCAAAGAAGACATCCAGATGGCCAACAGACACATGAAAAGATACTCAACATCACTCATCATCAGGGAAATACAAATCAAAACACAATGAGGTACCACCTCACACCTGTCAGAATGGCTCACATTAACAACTCAGGCAACAACAGATGTTGGCGAGGGTGTGGAGAAAGGGGAACCCTCTTGCACCGCTGGTGGGAATGCAAACTGGCGCAGCCACTCTGGAAAACAGTGTGGAGATTTCTCAAAAAATGAAAAATAGAACTGCCCTATGACCCAGCAACTGCACTACTAGGTATTTATCCAAGGGATACAGGTGTGCTGTTTCGAAGGGACACATGCACCCCAATGTTTATAGCAGCCCTATTGACAATAGCCAAAGTATGGAAAGAGCCCAAATGTCCATCGATGGATGAATGGATAAAGAAGATGTGGTATATATATAATGGAATATCACTCAGCCATCCAAAAGAAGAAATCTTGCCATTTGCATAATGTGGATGGAGCTAGAGAGTATTATGATAAATGAAATAAGTCTGAGAAAGGCAAATATCATATGATTTCACTCAGATGTGGGATATAAGAAACAAAACAGATAAATGTATAGTGGGGGGAACAAGACGAGAGAGGGAAACAAACCTCAAGAGACTCGTAATGACAGAGAACAAACTGAGGTTGATGGAGGGAGGGTTAGGGGGATGGGCATTAAGGAGGGCACTTGTTGGGATGAGCACCAGGTGTTGTATGTAAGTGATGAATCACAGAGTTCTCCTCCTGAAACCAATATTTCACTGTATGTTAACTAACTAGAATGTAAGTACAATTTTGGAAGAAAACAAAATAATAAAAACAACTTGAAAAAATAAAAAATAAAACTAAAAATGTCCACTGGTGGGGGGCCTGGGTGGCTCAGTCGGTTAAGCATCCGACTCTGGTTTCAGCTCAGGTCATGATCTCAGGGTTTGTGAGTCTGAACCCCACGTCGGGATTCTCTCTCCCTCCCTCCCTCTCTCTCTCTCTGCCCCTCCCCTGCTCACACCCTCTCTCTTGTCTGTCAAAATAAATACATAAGTAAACTTTTAAAAAAATGTCCATTGGATAGATCTCAATTCCAACTGACCCATCTACCTGCTGTGTAACCTGAAATGACTTATTAAACCCCACCAGTTGGTTATTCAACTTTTTTTTAAGTGATCTTCAAGCTCACTGAAGAGCCCAACATGGGACTTGACCTCATGATCAAGACCTGAGCTGAGATCAAGAGTTAAACACTTAACCCACTGAGCCACACAGGCGCCCCCTGGTTATTCAACTTTAAAATGGGCATAATACTATCTCGAAGGGTTATTATATAAAATAACAATATATATAAAATACAGGGTATAAAGTAAGTTGCAGTTTCTCTTTGTGAATCTCCTTGTCTCTTAATCTCACTGTTGTCACTGATACTCAGATCTATAATCAGGCTCAGCATTTCAGGACCTGTATCCCCAACTGTCTCTGAGGCATTTGTAACTATACGATCAGTAATCCAAAATTAAAAATATCTAAGACTAAGCTCAATTTTTCTTTACTCCCAACACTTCCCAATACATGAGACTGAAGCTTTAGAACCACCTTGGGCTCTTTCAAATCATGAAGTCCTCTCAATTCTTCTATTGAAATGTTTCATTAATAACCATCAGCCCCTATGGGGCACCTGGGTGGCTCAGTCGGTTAAGCGGCCGACTTCGGCTCAGGTCATGATTTCACGGTCCGTGAGTTCGAGGCCCATGTCGGGCTCTGTGCTGACAGCTCAGAGCCTGGAGCCCGTTTCAGATTCTGTGTCTCCCTCTCTCTCTGCCCCTCCCCTGTTCATGCTCTGTCTCTCTCTGTCTCAAAAATAAATTAAAAAACGTTAAAAAAAAATTAAAAAGGGGCGCCTGGGTGGCTCAGTCAGTTAAGTGGCCGACTTCGGCTCGGGTCATGATCTCGCAGTCCATGAGTTTGAGCCCCGCATCGGGCTCTGTGCTGACAGCTCAGAGCCTGGAGCCTGTTTCAGATTCTGTGTCCCCCTCTCTCTGACCCTCCCTTGTTCATGCTCTGTCTCTCTCTGTCTCAAAGATAAATAAACGTTAAAAAAAATGTAAAAAAAAAATAACCATGAGTCCCTACACTGAAAAATGTTAATAATAATAGCTAACATTTCTATTTCCTTACAATGTACTAGGTATTTTCTAACATATTTATAAGGTATTTCTAAGGTGTATATATAAATTTATTTAATCCTCAAATAATCTAATGAGGTTTATTGCCCATTTTAGAGATAAAGAAACAGGCACAGAAAAGTTAAACTTGCCAGAAGTTATACCGCACAGCAGGGCTGGGATTCAAGGCCAGGCAGGCTGGCATCAAAGTCCTTACTCTTGGGGTGACTGGGTGGTTCAGTCAGTTAAGCGTCCGACTTTGGCTCAGGTCAAGATCTCACGGTTCGTGGGTTCGAGCCTCGCGTCAGTCTCTGTGCTGTCAGCTCAGAGCCTGGAGCCTGCTTCAGACTCTGTGTCTCCCTCTCTCTCTGCCCCTTCCCCTGCTCACACTCTGTCTGTCTCTCTCTCAAAACAAAACATTAAAAAAAATTTTTTTTAAGTAGGGAAAAGCTGATAACAAACCTGGAAACAATCTCAGTGTTCATCAGTGGGGAGTGTCCAGACCCACCATGATACATTATACAATGTTAGTTTAAAAGAAATAATTTAGGGGCGCCTGGGTGGCTCAGTTGGTTAAGCGTCCGACTTCAGCTCATGTCATGATCTCACGGTTCGTGAGTTCGAGCCCCGCATCGGTCTCTGTGCTGACGCTTGGAGCCTGGAGCCTGGAGCTTGATTTGGATTCTGTGTCTCCTTCTCTCTCTGCCCCTCCCCACCTCCCCATCTTGCTCTCTATCTCCCTCTATCAAAAATAAATAAACATTAAAAAATAAAATCTTAAAAAAACACAAAGAAACAAAGTCCATAGTCCTCCTAACCACCTTGCATCACATCTGCATGTGGACATGCCCCCTCCGAGAGCACCTGCCCAGCAGACAGCCGCTAAGCTGAGACTTTCTGAGTCATCCTCAGCCTCAAAGTCTATCCAATCTCCAGTTCAAGGTAAACACTGGATCAGGAAAATACCCAGATGGAAAGGGATTCATCTGCTAGGAATGGGGTCCCCCCTGACCACATCTTCACAATTTCTGCTGGCTCCAGGTCACTTGACAAACACACTTGACCACGGGGGGCATCGGCCCCCCCTGACTAAAGTTACCAAAAAAACGTTTCCCCTTGGGTCAACAGAGATACAGTTGCAAATGTTCAAGTAGAAACATTACTGGGCAGCTCAAGGAGAGGCAAACAGCAAAACTTCTACAACCCATAGAAATTAATAATCAAGTGTAACTTTACGACCCTAATTTTCACCAGCCCTTCTGTTACAGCCCTTTCTGGAGCTTCACACTGACCTAAAGGGTGTGTCCTGGGGCAGCTCTTGATTTTGTACCAAGGTCTGATGAGACCTCTACCCCAAGAGACAGAATCTCATCCCCAGGTACGGCCACCTCCCCACTGCCCCTCTAGCCCCAGAACTGCAATATTTCCCCAAAACTACTCCAACCTACTGTCCTAAACTATGTTTCTCAACATATGCAGAAAAAGGATTCAATAAAAAGGATATCCATTCACAATAAAATCCCTTGGCATTAAGAAAAATAAAAATAAAAATAAATAAACCAGGGTTTCGCAATCTCTGCACTATTGACATTTGGATCAGGATAATTCTTTGCTGTGGGGACTGATCTGTGCCTCATCGGATGTTTAGAAGCATCCCTGGCTTACCCCTCAGAAGCCAGTCGTGACAACCAAACTTATCCTTAGATAGTGCAACCTTTGGAAAACTACTGCTCCAGCCAACAGTCCTCAAGATGTGGTCTCCAACCAACAGCACCAACATCCCCAGGGCACTGGCTAGAGATGTAGGTTCCCAGGTCCACCTCAGACCCGCTGAATCTGAACTTCCAAAGGAAGAGCCCAGTCATGGGTGTCCTAATAACCCTCCAGGAAGATGAAGCTTGAGAGCCAGTGCCCTTAAGTGACAGCCATCCTTATGGGCCAGAGGCAGTTCTGCTTTTCTCAGTCAGCATGGCTCTGGCCCCTGGGTCCAGCCTGTGCTTCTGGTCCACCCTCCTGGTCCCGGCTTGATTCATCCACCATGTCTTCCCATCAGTGGTTCAGGCTGCTTCTACCCCTGGAAAATCTCGGCTGGTCCACTTGGTGTTTCAAGCTATGAAGCAGACCTCCCGTCACCAGAACAAAGGCTATGGCCTCAAAGGCAGGCACTCCCTCTCTCTAGAGACCAAGAGCCAGAAAGAGAGCCTCTCGCTCATTGAGTTCCAGAGCCCAGATGTCCCTATTCTCTGCCAGGGACTCCACTGTTGCCTGCTGTCGGGCAGAAGCTGGGACGGGCAGGGCCTGGGCTCTAGGCACCAGCTCCAGTACTCCCCAGGTTCTCTCCAGGTTCCCCAGGATGGCTCGCTGCTCAGGTGCTCTGCAGGAAAGTGATCCCTGGGAACTTCCCCAGACAGAGTCCACAACTGGAGTCCACACAACACAACCCTCTGCTAGAACAGACTGACTGGACCTTCTTCCTCCCCTGCTCCAAAACTCTCACCAGCTCAGGTGTTAGCCAATAAAGGCACAGAGTCTTTAGTCAGAACTCATGGTTTTCCATGGAGGGTGATGGCGCAGAGGGCCTGGGGTCAGACTCCAACAGGGGCCAACTCTGGCCTCACGGCTCAGCAGGGTCAGGGCCGGAGGGTGATGGGGCAGAGGGGTCTGGGGTCAGACTCCAACAGGGGC